GGGCCCAAACTACATTTCTTATTGTCATTTGAATGTAAATGATAGGGGCTTCACAACCAGGAAAACTGAAGTATAATGTCTGCCTTTCAGGAATTAAGGCCTGTTAGATTCCCCTTCCCCACTTGGCTATATGAATGTGTAATTTGGCAGATTTAAAAGAAAGTTAATATGTTTTTATTTTGTCAAGTGATTTCAGCAAAATATTTATACCCAAAACAGTATTAATACTGTCAGATTATAAACAGTGCTTATGGACTATACTGAAAGATTATATTTCAAGCCTTGAAAATATAAGAAATAACTGTTTTCTGTCAGGGGAGGGAGGAAGGATTATTAAGTGGAGCTCTCGGTCACTGAGATTGTGAACAATAGATAATTTCCAGGGACATGTTAGGAATTGGAGAAAAAGTAAGTTTTCCTGACTTTGGTAACATGGCATTCATTTCTTTGAGCAACTCACTTGGCATTCTTTTTGTATCTTTCCAGCTCCCATGGCTATTGAAGAACAAGTGGCTGTTATCTATGCGGGTGTGAGGGGCTATCTTGATAAACTGGAGCCCAGCAAGATTACAAAGTTTGAGAATGCTTTCTTGTCTCATGTTATCAGCCAGCACCAAGCCCTGTTGGGTACTATCAGGTATGAATGCAATTGTTGGCCTGTTTTTGTAAAGTTATGTTTAAGATACAAAGTGAAAATTATTTTCAAATCTGTAGTTAGGCTAGTCATTAAAATTTTGTCCAGGTCAGAACTTATGACCTGCTTTTATTTCCAAATAGGGCTGATGGAAAGATCTCAGAAGAATCAGATGCAAAGCTGAAAGAGATTGTAACAAAGTTCTTGGCTGGATTTGAAGCTTAAACTCCTGTGGATTCACATCAAATACCAGTTCAATTTTGCCATTGTTCTAGTAAATTAGTTCCATTTGTAAAAGGGTTACTCTCATACTCCTTATGTACAGAAATCACGTGAAAAATAAAGGTTCCATAATGTGTAGTTGTTTCTGTCATTTGTTATTCTTTAAAACCAAGATCAAATTGAGAAATTGGTAAACATGCTTCTTGATATTTTACTTGAATATTGGTACAGTCAACTGGGCTAGATAATTCAAGGCTGAGGTCTTTAAGTTTCTTTTTTCTTTTTTCTTTTTTTTGAAACAGAGTCTCTGTCACCAAGGCTGGAGTACAGTTGGCACCCTGTCGGCCCACTGCAACTTCCATCTCCTGGGTTCAAGCAGTTCTCCTGCCTCAGCCTCCCAAGTAGCTGGGATTACAGGTGCCCGCCACCATGCCTGGCTAGTTTTTAAATATTTTTAGTAGAGACGGGGTTTCACCATGTTGGCCAGGCCAGTCTCGGACTCCTGACCTCAGGTGATCCACCTGCCTTGCCCTCCCACAGTGCTGGGATTACAAGTGTGAGCCACCACACCTAGCTGCTCTTTGTAAGTTTCTAGAATGCTTTGTGTTTAAGAAAAATTCCTAAACTTGATGTACGTGGCAGGCTGACAATACCGAAGAGCATAGCTGGCTTCTCTGCCCAGAGGATGTACCTGCATAAAGAGGTACTGTAGGCAGGAAAATAATACGACAGTTAAAATTCCCAGGGAAATGAAAAAATCTGCTGGGAACAAAAGCTGAGAAGATAGAATGCATAGGATTATGAAAACTTGGCAGTATCTCTTGTTTGTTTTGAGACAGGGTCTCCATCCCTCACCCAGGCTGTACAGTGGTGTGATCTCAGCTCACTGCAGCTTCTGCCACCTAGGTTCAATCGATTCTTCTACCTCAGCCTCCTGAGTAGCTGGGGTTACAGGCACATACCACCATACCCAGCCAATTTTTCTATTTTTTCTAGAGAGAGGGTCTTGCCATGTTGGCTGATGATGAACTCCTGGGCTCAAGTGATCCTCCTGCCTTGGTCTCCCAAAGTGCTGGGATTTACAGGTGTGAACTACCACGCCCGACCATCTTTTAATATTTTAACAGCTACTTTATTTATTCTATTACTAACTTTTCATAACCTTTGCTCATCCTTACTGCGGTTTTTTTTTTTTTAAACTGATTTATATATTTATTTTTTTGAGAGAGTCTCGCTCTGTCGCCTAGTCTGGAGAGCAGTGGTGCGATCTCAGCGGCGTGATCTCAGCTCACTGCAACTTCCACCTCCCTGGTTCAAGTGATTCTCCTGCCTCAGC